CAACCCGAAACAGCTCACAGCTGATCCTAAGCGCTGACTCCTCCAATCCCCAGTCACATTTAAACAGTGAGGCAGTGAGGTCTTTATAACTTGACAGCTCATACTCTTCTGCTGATCATTCACGCTGCTGCTGATGCTGCTGCTGCTGTTGACCCAGGTTGATGCAAATTCCCTCCTCTCCTCAACCTCCTCCTGCTGTCCTTTGTAGATGGATGCTGTGCAAGCTGTTTCTGAATAATGGTTGATTTTGTGCCATGGTTTCATATTTATGGAAATATGGGTTTTTATTGCACTTCCCACAGCATGTCTCACATGCTTCTGGGATTCAGCTGGAATGAAACTAAGGATTGATTTAAAGTTATAGTCTTTAAGATTTTTCAAATCCCAATTTTGGTGGTATTTATGGTCTGCATTCATTCTGCAGTAGCCATTTACTGTATTTATATTCAGTAATTGGCTCTCTGTATGTTATGTTCCATTGTTACTGAGGCAGAGTCCGCCTTTCCCAAACTAGATTCAGATTAGTTATACACCCACAATGGATTCACGGGAAACCATGTATGTACTTCAGCAGTGCAAATTTCATCTCATTTATGGAAGCCTTTCTGTGTAGCTCTCCTCCAGAGATGTGTGAAGTTACTGTCAATGCAAACTGAACATTTCCTACTGTTTCACGTTACAAGCATTCAACCTGTGAACCACGAGTTGGCTTTTATTTTGAAGCAACAACAGGAAAGGCGATCTCAGAGGTTAGCTCTGACTGCAAATGGCCACTAAAAAATGCATGCAAAACAAGGCTAAAGTCATTTTCGTACGCAAGCTTTGATTATTAATTTTAGTCTATAAAATGTCACACAAGTTCCCAGAACCAAAAAGTAATGAGTCTAAAATCCAAAGATATTCAATTTATAGTGATATAAAAAGGAGAAAGGGGTGCGAATCCTTGCATACGAAGAGCTTGAACTGGCAACTTTTTTGGCATTTTGGCTTGATTAATTACTTTAACAGTTAATCGATCATCTAAGTTGTTGTCAGTTTTCTGTAAATCCAGTGATTGTTTCAGCATTTAAGTGACTTCTCCCATTTCTTGCAAATATTGAAAGGTGATGTGATTTTATTTGTTTTTAAGTTGAGCATACTGAAAATAAAGTTTAATGAATTCTGAAATGGAGAAAGTGTTTTCAGTCACAGCAGTCTGCTGGATAGACAATAAAGATCACAGTAAGCCGATTTAAACAACTGCCAACAGTGATTATGCAATATGGGGCTCTCCTGTGACTTGTGTCACCCTTCCAAGATTGGCTCAGCTCTCTTAGACCTTGCTGCCCTCAGGAGCAAAGAGTGTCCATCATATTCATAATTATCTGGAAGGGAGGTCTGTCACAGCCGCATATTAGCAGCACACAGACGGCATGGCAGTAAATAATCCCATCATTTCAGCCAGAGGAGGTCAGGCAGACATAAATTTTACACAGAGCACTTTTACATCCTGGAGGGCATTGTAGGGAGGTTTCATCATCTGAGGGATTGATGCATTGGATTTCCCTTCCCTCCTGCTGCATTTTAACCAGAGCCAAGTTTTAGCTTTTTTGATTCATGCACATCTGAATTGCAGTGGATGTATGACTGCTTTGTACCGTTTGAATTTCTCCCTTGGATTTCTGAACAAATTGTTCTGGCGGGCAAAACTTCAGTTTGGATGACCAGAAACAAATCAGTTTCGATGCCTTGGTCACACCAGGTCATGCCCTGCTATTAAGGAATGTCTTCTTATCACGTCAGACCTGGATGATTTCCGGTGGGGAAAAAAGTTCGACACCATGTTTGAATTTTTATGCATTGAAATAAGCATAAACCTTTCTGACTCATGCTAAAAGGCTCGTAATTTTTGTTATTTACAGAACAAAAATTATACCCAGATTTTGTAAAAGAAGCAGATTGTTTTAAACTGTTATTCACCCACATTTATTGTTCTGTTGTATTTCCTGCTTGCACTGTACATTAAACAAGATCTTTTTGCAATCATTTGCTATGAAAATACTTCTGGTTATAGTAGTTAAGAGAAAAGATATGGAGGACATGTAAGTGAATTACTGGTTATCCAACAAAGTAATTAATCAACAAAATATAAAGAACTTTGATACACATTCACACACGTCTCCGCCACGTGTTTTGTTTTTATATATTTTCACCGTTGACAGATTTCACCCCTTTACATGTGCATGACTTTTTGTCCTCTCATACATTCCATTCCCTTTAGCATCTCTGTTTGTTTTCTCCTGCCTGACATTTATCAAGTGTGAGCTTAGAGGATGCTCTGAGCGGTGGAGAGGAGCTCCGTCTCCGGGACATTGGGTGTCCATGATTCGAGCAGCTTCGGATCACTCACTTAAGCAGCTAACATTTCAAACGGGCAATAAAGGGAGTCCCTCTAGAACAATAAAACTGTGTTAGAGTCAGGGGTGGATGCACTGTAATACAGACAGATATTTCTCTGCCACTGCTGCAGCTGCTGCGCTCAGCAGAATGAGAGAGAGACTGAATCAAAGGACATTCAATACAGCAAAGAAAGAGAGCTGGATTGACTGTAACATCCAGGTGTAACATTCCCTTTCTCAACATGGCCAAGAATAGAAGGTATACCTGGAGAGTTAAAGAGGTCATTAGGTCATTAAAGTAATTCTTGACCTCCATCAACCTCTGTCAGTGCAGCAACATTGGCGGAAGAAGTCTTAAAAGTACCATTTAAAATGTCTATTCCTTTACGTGTAAAACCGTAGTAGTATTGCATGTATCTTTTCATTTTATTATTCTGTGTGTGTGTGTATATATATACATATATACTTATACTTGTGGGAGCAGTGTGTCTGAGCAATGAGAGGATTGTTCTCTCCATATATGACAAGATGTAAATCAGCGTTAGTGTGTTCATTTGTTTCTGTCCTTCAAGAGCAGGGACAGGGATGACAGCTATGTGATGATCCCTCATGTCTGATCCATCTCACGCCTCATTCCCCTCGCAGGAATAACATTGAACAGGGATTTAGCCAAGACCTTGACTTAACTGCCTGCTTGGAGAGAAGAGTGCACATTGTCTTTGTTGTGTGGGTGTGTAAGTCTACGGCCTGTAATAAGTACAAGGGTCTCCAGCGTTGAGGTGTGTGGGTGTGTGTGTCATTGGCTTTGTCTTTGCTTGTGTATTCATGTGTGACTGTGAGTACATGTCAAACAGCATGCGGTCCTTCCAGAAATGAACAGGAGGTGACTGAGATTTACTGGGTTGATGGGCTCCTTTCATAACTTGATGTTTTCTGCATCAACATTCACCACCAAGCATAAACATTCAACAATTTGATGGATTACTACAAATTAGAGGCCCTACTAACCTAAGCTCAAGTTTCAAACTAAGCTTCAGTCTCATAATTTCATATATGCTGCTACTTGCTCTTGTTTACTACTCATCAGACCAGGGTTGGCCCATTGTCATTCCAACAGCCTTGAAATTTTCTTTGGACCTTTTATGAAACAAAGGGCATCTGTTGTAAACTAGAGCAAAAAGCTCCAAACAATCCCCAATTAATTGCCATTATTTACTCCTGTGTGAGTGACTTTGTCCTAAAAAATACAGTTCCCAACTGTTTTAGGAAACCATTTAGCCTATACTATATATATACTACAAAAGATTTATGTTTTTATTAGTAACCAATGGGATCGGGGCTGGGAGTCCATTCTTATTTTTATGTTTTGTTTGTTTTTTTTCTTTCACTAAAGCCCTGCTTATGTGCCATTGTCAGGCCAAGCACTGGAGATGAATGGAGAGTATGTAGTCTTAGAGGTTGTTGAGGCCTTAATCATAGGTCGCCTTGAGCTTTTCTTTGAGATTAGGAGGCACTTGGCACACCGGGAAACCCTTTGTTTGTTTGCATGCCTGTGTACATATGCATAAGCATTGAAATATGTATATCTTTTATATGCACTTTAACATGGTGTACCAGAGCAGGAGACATTGTCTGTAGCGGAGCTGAACCCTTGTTGACTTTGCTGCAGTGACATTTGTGCTAACCACTGTAGATTCGCTTTGGCAGCACTCCCTACAGCTACAAGTTTGGAACCAAAAGGAGATGATGGGACTAAAGTTCTAGTCTTTCTTTTAGGTCCATCATGTCCCCTTATTTTGTATTTGTTCAGTTTGATAGTTTTTGAGTTGTCGGAGGAGATTAGGCAACGAGATCCATTCCCATGGAGTCACAGAGGGGGGCTCCTGCTCTGCAGGGACATCACCTAATGATTTATTCATATGTGACATTGTTTTCATATTTTGTTCTCTTATCACCATGCTTCCAACTTGCACGTAGGCCTCGCTCCCTCCCACCCTCCTGTCAGCATCTCTCATTCTATCATCAGGCTCAGGTGGTGCTAAAGCAAAGGAGGGACGCAAGAGAAAACAAAAGGAAAACCTTGTCATCTCCTCTGCTGTGTCCACCGCTTATTCGCCTGCTCTCCATTTGTATAAGTCCCTCGCAGCATGGGATAGACATGTTTTGCATAACGACTGATTTCAAGTGTGAAGAAAAAAAAATGCAGAGTGCTGCACGTGATTAATTTGTGGTGTCTCATTTCCTCTGCACATCCTCATCAGGCAGAGCCTTGCCTAGCAGAAAATCCAGAGCTAGACACTCGGCCTGCTTTGAAAGATGAGCTTTAATCCCATAGCAGAGAAGGACATGAAGCTTGAGAGGGGTCTAAATGAGGATGTTTACCTTTTTGTTTTCATATGGATTCAGGAATTACTTGTAATTAACTGGACCCTCTGCACTGAAAAACTTCCGCATATGCAGATACAGACATTATCTATCCCTTTTGCCCTCTTTTCTTTTCCTGCCTCTATAAAACACACACAATTTAAATCAAATTTACAATTACAATCCAAAGGCTTAGGCTTGTATAATTGAGGTTAATCAAATGCCCTTTCTTCCGTATCTCTGTCTTTGCTCTTGCAGGAAATGCATGCACAATGTCGGAGTACAACAAGCTGAAGAACATGCTGCTGGATATGCAGCCTAAAGTGCTGAAGACTGGAGAGCAGAGCCAGCAGAGGGACATGGAGGAGAAGAGAGCACTGGTGGACACCATGTTCAAATACCTGGATGTGGACAAGGACAGCCGGCTGGTCAGTGATGAGCTTGAAAAGGTAGGTATAAACCCATGAGGTGGCCTGAATAATGAGATTGCTGTATGGATGGATGGATGAATGGTGAAGACTGATTGAGAAAGAACACTTTTAAACAAGGGAGAGAGATGCCTTTTGCAAACTGTGTTGGATTTTGAGTTTGTTGGATACCATTCATGTCTGGAACAGTTTATCTGGATTTAAGAGCATTTATTACTTTAATTTGATTGTGTGGGAGTGTGAAGAGACCCTGTGTGACATCAACAAAAACACAGATTTCAAACCTCCCAGCTCACATTAGCCGACAATCGATCAGATTTTTTTCTTCTTTGTCTCCCCCCACCAGAATTATTACTGAGTGAGTGCCATGTGGCTGAACCATTTAATCATCTTGTTCAACAATGAAAAATGTTTACAGAGGCTATCTTCCTGCCGGGGTCTGATGGGTAACAGTGGTGGAACTGTAGATAGAATTGACATTGATATTTGCAGGATGAGGAAATGAAATTATTGTGGACATCGCCTGTTATCAGGAAATGGCCATCAGAGATGGGTGTTAATTACACTCCTCCCAACCAATACTACGACCTCAGTGACTTCTGCCAGAATGCAGTGAACCATGTTAGAGTCACTGCTGACTGCAGACTGCAACAGGAAGAGTAAATTGTAATGTTTAACATTTTAAATGTACTGTAGCTCTTTCTTATTATTCGGAAATTGAAAGAGTGGCTCTATGATGCCTTATTAAAACAAGCTTATTATAAGTTGAAAATGTGCAACTAAATATAGACTCGAAAATGCCACAGTAATTAATCTTTTGTCATCTCACTGCAGTTGAAAATGACAACATGCTTTGTCCTCTTTTTAAATTAAAAGGATTGAGTGATTTCTGGCCCAGTTGAAGCAACAGAAATAAATAATAAAATCTCTTTCTGGCAGAGCTGCACTAAAAGATCCAACAAAAGATTTTGATCAATCGCAACTGACAATTACTAATGCTGACATTTTGCCAGGAAATCTTTAGATAAGACCGTATTATCCTGTAGGAATTCATAAATTCAGTTTCACAGAAATAATGCTTTTCTGGATCAAAAGAGTTCAAAGATGAATTCCAGTCATCCATCCAGACTGTCTCCAGTTTGGGATCTGTCTATTGTCACAGATGGTCTTAGAGGGTGAAGTCCTGTACTTTGGGTTTGAAATATTTTATTCCAGTGCCCAAGGAGAGATCAGTCTATCAGTGAACACACGGCTGCAGTTTGCTGTAGGCAACAACATGAAGAAAAGTTTGTCACATCCCTTAAAATGTGCAGCTCCAGAGAGAATCAATTGGAGGGGATGAACAAGTATGGGGGCTATATTTTAAGCCTTGTAAATCTTAACTGATGGAATTCAACATTGAACTCACAGTACCCCGTAATAGTTTTGTTAGCATTTTGGCCTAAGCACTCAGTTCTATATAAAAATTTAATTGTCTTTCTTAAAATTAAAGAATCTTCATAAGTAAATAGAAACCGCTTTCTAGTGTGGCACCATTAGACATACAAAGTAGCATCATGTGTCTCATTGTAGCTCAGATTATTAATGAGTTAGCACCAGTCTAGTTTGATCTGTTTACAGCATCTTAATAATACCTGCCTTGCTCACTTTTGGTGAGTAAAATATGGACCTGCTGTCTGTCTGCAAGGCTCTTCATTGACTCAGCTGCTGACTCAGAACGGCCTGATATTTTAGCTTTGTTCAGGGAGGAGAAAATTAACAAGAGTTAGTTAGAAAATAGTTTAAAGGCAAAGAATCACTGACTAATTTGTAGTAGACCTAAATTTATTAGTTATGCATTTTAATAAATTTATGAGAATTGATACCCAATTATGAATTTTTAAGATTCATAAAATCATTTTTTTTTAATTCCTCGTTAAGGGCACCACCGGAGTTGTTATAATCCTAGAGTCTCCGGACCTCTAGGTAGTTTTGAATAATTGTACAATTATTACTAGTGATCAGTTAGTTAATAATCGCTCAATTATCTTAAATCAGTCAGTCAGTCTCATATCTAAAGGGTCAATTCTCTTGGCAGGAACTATAAATAGGCAACACACACAGCTCTTGATTATACACAGTGAATTTATTCTCTAACTAAGGTGATAAAAAGATGGTTGGATACAGGGAACATAAACATTTGCTGAACAATGAGCCTGAAGGTTCGATTGTGGGAAGCATTTGACTCATACGGCATAGGAGCTAATTAAAGTAAACTAATGCTATAATTTAGGAGTTAAAATGGACATCTGATCACAGGACGTGTGTTAAGTCTTACTGCTTGTCGACAGCCTGCTTTCGGCCTGTTGCACGGGTCCCACGCTAGCTGCCGATCCTGGCTTTTTGCTAGGGATTCTCCAGGGTTCTCCGTGTCTGATTGAAAACGCCTCCTCCGTCTGGCAATTCGGCTGTTTGCAGGTTTCCTACGTTGTAGCTGGCGAGACCACGTGGCTTGGTCTGACCTCGGTGAAGTTAGCTCGACGAAAAAGGCTTAAAATGGAACTTGGCCGTTCCTGAATTAGTCCAGTGTAACTTAACGGACTCATAACTTTAACAAACAAAAGAAATAAAGAAAATAAAAAAAACTGAAGGCAGATCGATGTCTCGGCACTTCACGTGTGTAGCTTCAAGCGAACAAAGGCCTGTTTGTTTCGCTGGTCGACTGAGGGCGTTGCCTGGCGAGACACGCTGCGCGTGCCGAAGCATCCAGCGAGCAGGGCAGAGTGGAAGAGCCAACAGCGAAGTGAAGAGAGGAGACAGAGGAGAGAGCGAGCAGGTCGCGTGTCGCTCTTTTGTTGCCTGGGGCGTGGTTCCCCAGGGGGCGTCTCAGGTTTCCCAGGGACTGCCTTTCTAAACTTAATGTCTAAAGAAAAGAAATCTATTTGCACGTATTATAATCAAATATTTTCCACAATCGAACCTCAATGGTTGAACGGTTGTACCGTTCTAGGCATTTGGTAACAGGAAACAATTGTCACATTATTGGTCAGTATTTTTACACATTTAACCGCATTTCCGACGAGGGCATGTAATACTTATTTCGTCCACTTGGGGAGCTCAGGTTACATGAGGAAAGCTTGGATTAAATCAAAGATCGTCTCTCCTTAGGAACCGGGAATATTGTTGATTCATCCTTAAATTCAAGCTGGCGATTAAGAGTATAGTAAAACATTTCTTTGTCATCATTTCTAAAGGGATTTTGTAAGAAAGTATTATGAACAAGCATTGATTACATTAGATGAAGGAGTGTCTTGCTGAAAATAAAAACACTGCACAAGTAACTTCTTTCAGCACTAATATCAACAACAGATAGCAACAACAGTTAACATAACTACTCAAATAGAGGCAAACATATTCAGGCAACTAAAGATTTAATTAACTTAATTAAATGCTTTGAGTATTTGGAGACTGCAGTCCTTTGTCATCCAAAGTTCAGTGTCTGGAACATGTCGCACTTAGGTGAGACAAGGAGTATCCTTTTGATGTGGTAATAAAACAAAGAATAAGGTCAGTTGCCACGGAAACGTGTGTGGGGGCCAGTTTTGATAGGCTGTTCAGGGAGATGCCAATGGCTGGTTCGTGTCCCTTTGTCAGTTTAACAGTCAGGCCCCGCGTTATCAGCTTCGGAATCAAAAAGGTGCCAGTTTTATGGTCGGGCTAGCACTTAGAGAAAGCAACTTTGACCCCTCCCCTTCTTCTCTGGGGAGGAGAAAGGAATTTAGGGTAGCTCCAAATTTATTCAATGTAAAATGCACAAATCCACACTGTTGTTCACTACACATTAAGTGAATTAATTAATAAACTCAGTATGTCTGGCTGACTAAAAACATCAGTAGAAAATAAATTATTTAAATTATTTCAGTCAAATTCAGTACAGCTTTACGTTTGGTCACTGTTGTAGCATGACTACTATGTTTAATAAATTTATGAGAATTGATACCAAATTATGAATTTTAATATTCAAAAGAATATCTCGTTTCGCGGGGCACCACCGGAGATCCAATTCGCCCTGAGTCTCCAGACCTCTGAGTATGGTTAATAATTAGACAATTATTCACTAGTGATCAGTTAGTTATCATACATTATTACATAGTAATCGCTCAATTATCTTAAATCAGTCAGTCAATCTCATATCAAAGGGGGGTAAATTCTCTTGGCAGGGACTTGCAGACAGGCAATACACACACAATTCCTTTGGTGAGATTTATTAATTAATTAAGGTGATATAAAACTGCGTTAAATACATCAAAGAAATAAACAATGGCTAAACAATGAGAAGGTTCTATTGTGGGGAACATTTGACTCACACGGGCAGCTAATGAACGCGAGCTATGACTTTTAAGAGTTAAAGATAATCTATTAACAACTATGGGACATCACTGAACACACAGAGTGCAGGGTTTTGGTCTTACTGCGTGTCGCTTCTCCCAGCCGGGTGTTGGTCAACGGCCTCACACTGGCTGAGATCCGTGTGTTCTCGGTTAGGACAGCTTCCATCCATCGGCCAGTCGCTTTCTCTGCCAGGGAATTGCTCCGGAGGTCCGTCTTTTGTAGGCTTATTGAAGAAACTTGCAGTGGGGACCAACCCTGGCGTGGGTCAAAGGTTTGGTCGTCCTTTGTTACTGCTGGCGGGACAACGTGGTTAGGGATCCGACCTCAGTGACATTAGCTCGACGAATCAAGCTTAAAAAGAAAAGAACTTGGTCGCTCTTGAATTAAAACTAGTGTAACTTAACAGACTGATAACTTTTAACAAAACAAAACCAAAGAAAATAAAATGCAAGGAAAGTTGCTGTTAAACGAGGGAAAAATGGATGTCGCGGCGCTTCGCTTGTGTTGCTTGAAAACCAACAGGCTTCGTTGCGCCGGGCCGAAGATCTTAGGGCGTTGCCGGGAGAGTGGCACGCTGGGCACGTGCCGAAGCGCAGTTGGAGAGCCAGCAACAAACAGAGGACGAGAGAGCAAGAGCGTGTGTCGCTGTTTTGTCTGTTGGGGGTGTGGTTCCCAGAGGGCAGTCCTTTGTTCCCCTGAGGCAGAGCTTGTCTTTTCTTTAACTTTTAATGTCTAATCAAAGGAAAAATCTATTTGCACGTATTGTAATCAAATATCTTCCCACAATCAAACCTTAATTATGAAACAGGTATACCGTTCTTAGTTTTAAGCACTTGATAAAAAGGAAAACAATTGTTAGTAGTTAGATCTTAAAAGGTTAGCATTTCATAGGAATCACAGATGAGAGGAACTTAACTAGCTTTCTGGGTATATTGGTTACACGTTCTTAGAGAATATAAGCAAGATACACGAATGACATTAGATTATGGACCGATAAATAAAGTGACATTTATACATTAAACGGCATTTCAGACGAGGGCATGTAATATTTATTTTGTCCACTTGGGGGAGCTCGGGTTACATGACGATAGCTTTGATTAACCCTAAAACAATCTTTGCTCAGGAGCTGGGGAATTTAGTTATTTAACCTTAAATTCAAGCTGGAAAATTAATCGAGTATAGGATGACATTTCTTTACCATCATTTCTAAAGGAAGTGTCAAAGTCAAAGTATTGTGAACACAGCATTGATTACAACATAGACTGAATAAACGTCAGGGATCCTTGCTGAAAATTAAAACACTGCAAAATTAACTTATTTAGATTCTTTAAACAACAGACAACAACATGGTAACCTAACTACTCAAATGGAGGCAAACGCCACTACTAACTTGGCAAGGATTATTGGTTGAACAGAACAGCAGTTTATAATGAAACATTGTTTTAACTCAAGAAGGCAGGAGTTGTGTCGCATTCCTGGCTTATACAGCTCAAAGAAGAGACGGGAGTGGTGTTTTATGGCCCAGCCATTCTATGGGAAAAGGTATCAGAACGTCCAGTACTTTGATGTCCTGAGGCACCCTTGAGGGAGACGGATTGGACAATTCTTTTGCTGTCCTGCTAAGTGTCTATTGACACCTTTACGGCGTCCTTGCGATGCATGTCTGATTGAGTCTCTGCAGACCCTTACCAAACCCCAGGCCAATCTCTAGTTTTTTGCATGTCAAAAGGCCAATCTCCAGGGGAGGAAAACTTTCCTACCCCCTCCTTTTTCCTCAGAGAGAGAGAGAGGGAAGGTTTTTTTTAGTCTCCAAATTATTTGATATAAAATGCACACATCCACACTGTTGGTTCACAACACTGTCAACTCATTTCTTAACAGTAACATTTTTACTTACCAGAGTTTAGGGACATCATATAGTTCCCTACTTAACTCCAACCAGCTTCAACCAAATCAGAGGTCTAATTAGCAGTAAGTAATTGAAAATGCCTGAGCTCATATGCCTTTTTAAAACCAGGCTAAATGTGCTTTGAATGTGGAAGGTTAAGCTAGCTCAAATAGCTGTTTACTATATTTCAATGTGTAGTTAGGACCTTCTTCATCTTGAAAAAGTCATTAAAATGAAAAATGAAGTGAAAATGAAAAATTTGAAAACACAGCTATATCTAAAAATATGTTTTCCTAAAAATTTTACGAGTCTGATAATTACTACAAATGTATGGACACTGAATAAAATGATAGGCGTGGCGTCCTGTTTACATGCCCCTTAAGGACTTAAACACAGAATTCAGCTTTCCAGCATAAGCAGTGTTTTGACAAAGATTTACCTGCATCGAGTGTTTTGCACTTTTATTAGTCGCTGCTATGCTGCTATGTACAGAAACAACAGCTTTAACAGAACACAGTGCAACTGGAGTTATTGGGCGCTGTTTATCTCCCTAAAACTGCTTAACATCACCTATTCAAAGATAATTCCCCTGAGAAAGACGCATCGCTAAAGTGGAAGAGAGGGCTTGTAAATGACAATGGAGGAGAGAGTGGTGCGTCTTCCCAGGGGAACATCTTTGGATGAACTCAGGTGCCGTATGCACAAGCGTAATCAGTTAGTAGAGTAGAGATGTTCTTAAAATGGAAAGGAATGAGATACCGCACGTACTACTCTCGGAATGAGTTAGTTTCTGTGATTCTGGTGTTTATGTACATGAGGCATTTTCCTTCTGATGGAAATCTTACTCTAATTATTAGTAGAATGAAGAGCTCATTCTAAACACTACTTATAATGGCAACTATGTTTAGGGTGGCAATTTATTTCAAATCACTATTGATTCTGCTGGAAATCCAAAGGATTACTTCTTGTAGCACTTGTAGAACAGGAATATTTGGGAAAATTTTATGAGAAGGCTTACTATAGGTTTAATCACTATCATGACATCTTTTTATAAAAGAGAGAAGCAGAATGTCCATAACATACAGTATCTTAAATGTAAAATACAGACTGTAGTCAAATGTACAGTTTTAATTACATGAACGATTATATGTTTCTTTACTTAATTTTCGTAAAAAATGATTAGGCAACCTTATCAGAAGGTTACATGTTAAATGTGTGTGGTATTGCACCTCAAGGATGTCAGATTTACATTTATACCGAATATGCATAATGTGGTTTTGTCTTGCAGCAGATAGCTTATAATAAAATAAGATTAAAGGTAAGAGAGAAACAATAAGTAAAGGCTATGATAAGGTGTGAGAATTGTGCTTGTGAATGATAGTTGACTTTATCACCGTTTTCCATGTTGTTTTATATTATTGAACACAGCATGTGTGTTTGTGTGTTAGATCTCTATGAAAGAGCACCTGGAGGACAGCCTGATGGAGTGCACCATGCAGGACCTGCTGCGTTACGATGACTACAACAATGATGGACACCTCAGCCTGCATGAGTTCTACACAGCTTTCCGTGAGTCTTTAGTCTGTCCATGTTTTGCCTTTTTTACCAGTCTCCCTTTCTTCCCCTTTTCCTTATTTTCTTTCTCTTTCCTGTGTACTATCAAAGACAGACAAAGCATTTGTCCCAGAGACCATGTTATCCTGTGAAACTGTCTCTCATACATCTTTGCCTATAACTGTCTTTACAATTATACATACTTTAATCTTTTTTTTTAAATTAGCATTTTCCTCTAAAACTACATGTCTAGTATTTGCACCTTGGCTAATTATTTTGCTTTAGTTGACAAACTGCAATACATATGTCACCCATGCTTTTAAAAGCTAAAAACACACAGCTTACTGTCAACACTATTTACAACCTGATGACCTCCCAGTCAGCCTCTCCACAGCGGCCATCAGGATAAAAGTGTTTCAGCCACAGATAAATTGATAATTGCACACTAGCCCATGTGCCCAGACCCAGCCATGATTATAGCATCTGGAACAGCCATAATAGCCTTTGGGGTATAGGCTGTGCAGCAGCTGAGAGCACAGGCAGGTTCCACCTTATTAAGACCAATACCGCTAATGTTACTGTAGCAACAGCATCAAAATAGCTGGACGCCTGTTTTGAAACTCATAGGTTTTATTTTTGCCTTGGCTTTCGAAATTTGTTTCCCTTCCAAAGCTGCGATAAAATCCAATAAAGTTGATGCATCCAGCAGTTAGCTGTGGCAGGTGGCCATTTCTAAGGCTCTACCTTCAACTTGTGCAGGTCCATTAAACCTCACCACTAATTTAGCCTCCTAATGAGTGGTTTTAGTGGGAACCATCCTGCTATTATTCGGTTACACTCACCTCACCTTCCAGATGGGCAGTAAGCAGACATTGCATTGCATTTACCTACCTACAGGCTTGGCTGCAGGGTTCTAGGCCTTGTTTATCAATGCATTTTATGTTTGACAAGCAGTTGAAAGAATGGGTTGGGACCAATAAAACAAGCTATTGATCAGATGACGCTCAAGGTTAACTGTTGGGCTTCAGAAAGGAAACACCAAAGGGGGAGTGATTATTTTTGAGTACTGCATCTGGTGTTCTGGATAATGTTAATGGTGTTAAAGTGTGTGTGTGTGTGTGTGTGTGTGTGTGTGTGTGTGTGTGTGTGTGTGTGTGTGTGTGTGTGTGTGTGTGTGTGTGTGTGCGCATTACTGCAGGTGTGTCTGAATATATTTGTGTGTGTGTTTTCCTGGGATGCAGTCAGTGCTCTCCCCTGTGATTGTTTGGGAAAGCAGAGCAGCCAGGAATCACAGGTGTGTTTAGCAGGCTGGAAATTTACAATATGGTGATAAGCTTGGAAGATGGAATACGAATATCCAGACCTAAATGATGTGAGGAGGTATTTTTCCCTGGTTGATATTCTGTTGTCAAGCCAGTTGTCTGATCTCAGGCAACCATTTAAAATACAAGCTTTAGTCATGCTTTGGAGAACTTATAATTCAAAGCACAGTGGTAGAAAACTCAGCAATCCTCCTTTAGTTTCCATGGTTCTACTCTGTTGATACTTTGTTTCTGCAGCTTTGATGTAAGAATCAAAACCCTCTGGGTGTTTCCCAAAAAGACAACTCCAGCTTCATTGTTGCTCACTGAACTTGTGCGGTTAAGAATCACTAATTGTGTCGTTTTCCCCCTTTATTCATTTATTTTTTTAATATATAAACCTTTTTCTTTAATATATAAACCTTGACAAGCACACTGCTCTACAAAGCTTTGTTCTGTCCTTGCCACCCAAATGTATTTTTTATTTTTACCACAAACTGAATTGAGGCGAAGGAAAATGATTGCATTGTTATTGATTTTTGCCTTTTACAAACCCAGCAGGTTGTTTGATATACTTTTTTTTTTACTTTTCTCTACAGCCTCCTTGGCACCTCTGTTAAATAGATTCTCCTTAAAAACCTGTTTCTTTCCACAAGAGTATGGATTTATAATTATATTCTACTTAAACATCCATTTCTTTCTTCAAGAGTATGGATTTATAATTACAATCAAAGAATAATGCTAACTGAATCTTACTGATGTAGTCTCAAAGATTACTATCTGGGATACGGCAATCACATTTACATTTGCATCTCAGACACTTAAGATGGTGTTCTAATCGAATCAGTACAACCATGAAATAATCCACCTAAATTATGATTTGGGGCCAGCTGTGGCTCAGGAGCATTGCCCTCCAGTAATCAGAAGGTCGGTAGTTCGATCCCCGGCTCCTCCACTAGGCATGTTTAAGTGTCATTAGGCAAGATACTGTGTGAGTGTGAGAATGGGATTAGTTTCTGTTATTGATGAGCAGTTGGTTCCTTTCATGGCAGCCTCTGCCATCAAAGTGTGAATGGATGAATGCCAACTTGGAGTGTAAAGCTAGAAAGGAAGAAGAAGGTACTTTATTGTCACATACACATCCATGTACCAAAATTCATTCTCTAATTCTTTCTAAACCCAATCCTTAAAGGTACTATATAAGTGCAGTCTATTAACCATATGTTAGCAGAATGTAGTATATGTCACAAAATGATTGGAAGAAATTCAGCAAATACGTCTCTAGATCAAACATAAATGATAGAGAGGGGTCCTTATATTGGCCCTCATGCAAGAACATTTTGTATTCTTAACTTCCTCTTACTTTTTTTCATACGGTGGTCCGTACGGCTCATACGAGATACAGATTCAGCAAACACTCCCAACTTCGGATAACTGTTTAAATGACCTGCGTAAACATGATGAATGCCTTCTATGCGTATTTAAGCGTGTTCGTGCGAACTGCAAAATAGAGTAATGGACACCCCAGTAATACCATATAAGGCTGTGCATCCTGCTCTACATGTCAAGAAGTGTTCATTCAAAAGAAAGTCCTGCTTTCTTTCAACTAAAACTTCATATATTTTACATTCATCACATATAAAGTGAAATGTTTCAGACATTTTTTTTTGTTTAATCTTGATGATTACAGCTTACAACTCACAAAAATCAAAAACCCATATCTCGAAATATTAGAATAAAGAATGTATTATACAGAAATGTTGTTATCAGAAGAGCCTTTAATCTCTCCATCTGTTTCGGTACACACAACGGCAATCAAAGACTTGACAGTTGTCCAGAAGACACCCTCCACAAGGGTAAACCACAGAAGCTCATAGCTGAAAGGGCGGGAATTTCACAGAGTGCTATATCAAAGCACATTCTTGGAAAGTTTACTAGAAGGTTAAAGTGTGATAGGAATAGGTGCACAAGCAACGGAGATGATCGCAGCTTTGAGAAGATTGTCAAGCAAAGCCGATCTAAGAACTTTGGGGAACTTTCCAAGGAATGGACTGAGGTTGGAGTCAGTGGAGCCACCAGATGTGTTCAGGAAATGAGCTACAAGTGATCTGTACTCTGCGCATGCGTTGGCGTCTGTAGCCACCTGTCGGAAGCTCCGTCTTAAACCTAACTCTTATCCAGTTTTAATCCACTCTTTTTCGTTACATTTTTTATATCCTTTTTATTTAATCTTTATTAATTTATATCTTTTTTATTTAACTTAAGTTTTACGTGGGTTAAGGATTTTAGCCATCCGGCATGGATTTTAAGCTAGATGACCGTAAAAACGCGATCAACGCTACTGATCGCAACAAAGCTCCGGTGACTATGCTAGCCGAAATAACTCTGCCCCATCAGGACTGCACACTCCTTAAGAAAGCGAACAAGAAGATTGCTGACCTTATGGAAGACATCCGACGACTTTCAGAAGAACTCAAAGAGAGTGATTCCCTGCTGACTGGCTTTATGGATGTGGCTTGAGTACAAGCCAAACAGATTGTTTCTCTTAGCGCAACCGCTAACATCCAGGACACCGTGTTTTGGGACCCCTCTAGCCTTCCCAGGCTTTCATCCTGCTCGACTCCAAAGCATCAGTCAACCTGGGCTGAAGTGGTGGTCCGTGGCTGCAAGAGAGGCTCGGATGGGGCTGCCTCTCATCCGCACATCGGCCTCTCCAACCGCTATGCAGCCCTGTCTAACGACACTCCGGTCCATCCAGTTGATGCACCTGTGGCTTCGAGTCTCCCTGATACGGATCTCTTTCGGCGCACAGTGCCTGCCGACAATGTTGCATCTCCTGCACTCGGCCGCCGGTCTGCCGCCGGGCCTGATCGGCGGCCGTCATCCCGGTCAAAAACCTCCGCTTCCCGACGTAGGCTGTGCTCAGACGCTCCGGAGGCCGTCTCTACCCTGCACCGTCAGGTAGCCCTTCTCTCAGGTCTGTTACTGCTACTCCAAAACAACCAGCACACACACTCCATCCCCAGTCCGCACGCAGTGTTGAAGCAGATTATGCTCAGTCCTGCTCTGGAACCACACAACCGGCATCTCCTCGTCCCCTTTTCTCCCCAACCACACTAATAATTGGTGACTCCATAACCAGAAACCTCCGTTTCTTTAATGCTACCACTCAATGCTTCCCCGGTGCCACCACAGCTGACATTTAAAAAAAACTCCAGGACCTGATGCCGTCGCTCCCGTCCTCCATCACAAGAGTGATAGTCCATGTCGGAACAAATGACACAGCTCTTCGGCAGCCTGAGCTGACAAAATCAGATTTTAACCATATTCTTAACTTTTTAAAGCAGTGTGGAAAGTCAGTTTTTATCTCTGGTCCCATTCCCACAGTTGGTCGCGGTGCTGGCTGCTTCAGTAGACTCCTTGGCCTCCACGACTGGCTCCAGTCCGCCTGCAGGGCTCATCGTGTGTGTTATGTGGATAATTTTAATATTTTCTGGCAAAGAATGTCTCTTTTTAAGACAGACTGACTTCACCCAAACAAACGGGGCTCAGAAATGTTAGCTGCGCACATACAGCATGTGGTGCGGTCCACACATGATTTACGTGAATGACTAATCATTCATGCAGCACACCTGGACACACCACCGCTCACTGAACAGATCTCTGGCTCACTGCCACAAACAACTGTCTCCACCTGCTGGCATGTAAAGCCGT